AATATATTTGTTTAAAAACATGGTGTCTAACATTTTAGAAATATTTCCAATGTACTAACCTTTCTCTGCAGTCTGTATGATAGTAGCAGTATAGATTAGAGTTGATGCCAAAAGCGCTGTTGTTATACTGGTTTTCCTGCAGTACTCACAGATCAGACCAGAGAGAGAGAGAGAGGGAGGGAGGGGAGAGGAAGATTAGCTTCTAATTTTCCATTAGATTGATTTCACTCATAGGTTCCTCCCATGTATTTAATGTTGGCTGATTTGCTTAGACTATAGTTTTCTAGTAAGATTCTGTTCCTGCTAATGTCACTGAGATGTTCATATAGTTATTTTGGCAACAGTACAGAAGTAGCTTGCCATTTTCTTCTTCCAATGGTCATTCAGATTTTTGGAGCCTGCATAGTCCTATTTTTCTGTAGATTTTTTTCCTGGCTTCCCACTTTGCTCTACAGCCCTGGTATTCTTTGAATATTTCCATTCAAGTGCTAACCAGGGCCAACTATGCTTAGCCCAGAGGAGCCTTGCTTGATGCAGCTGTATAGTGGCTTCTATTAGATCTGGAAATTATACCTCAGAATAACAGCCAAAGATCCCTGGTAGCTAAATAAAATGTGTTTCTAATCCTGCTGTACGTCATTTATCCTCCTAGCCATTTGACTTGTCTGTGGTGGTGTTTCATAGCAATCAGAAAAAATATGCTCCACAGTGATCTTAGCGGCTGCTTGCTTGAAAGGAAGAACTTTGTGTCTAAAAGGAAAAACAGAAAATATGATTTGAAGAATGCTACAGCTACCTTTGTTTACAAGGAAAACGTGTAAATGCTTTATAAATGTGATTTATGATTTTGTGGCATAAATGACAAATCCTTGTGACAACTGGGATAGCACAATAGACAAGAGGTTGACTATGAATGAAGAAGGGCTTGGGTCTTTGAAATTTGCCTCTCCCTGAATCTCATGATGTATCTGCCTGAAATTCACTTGATTGCCTGAGATGACTTGATATTCCTCATATTTATCTCCTTTAATCAAGGGCAGTTCTAGAGTTGTTAGACACCTCATGTGTTCCCCTTCCTACATTACATGCCTCCTTTAATTCGGCAGTATTGATTGGTGGAGATGCAGTGCAGCGGAAGTTTTTGTTGTCGGTTTCTATTGTTACTATTGCATTAAATGGGAAATAACTACTACTGTAGCCAGCATGTGCTGACTGTGGTTGGTGTTCATCATGTTAATTCTGGCCACGTCAGATGGAAAAAAAAAAGTTGTTCTGAGAGGAATGCAAGGATCAAGAAGCAGTAGCTACAACAAAGATGATCATTAGGAATGATGATGATATTTTGCTATAAAACATAGCATGGAATTTTTGGATCTGTATTTCAAAAAATGTCCCATGTTTAAAGGCGTATTATGATTTTTTCCCCCCTGAGATTACAAACTGTAGCTCTTAAATGTAACCTGCCTAAAAGTTAGATGAAATCTGCTACATTATGGTGTTATATTCTCATTTCAGAGCAGATCTGACATAGTTGAACAGAGATGGTCCTAGAAACAACTTTTTAGTTTATTTTAAACAAATCAAGAAGTAAGAACTGGGAAATCACTTAAACAGTTTTATTTTGCTAAGCCTGGAAGCAAATCTGAAATACGGTCTGGACTAGAAGGAAGATAATCCTTTATAGGTTGTGGGAATGCTGTAGACATGATACAGTATATCTAGATTTCAGCATAGTGTTTGACAAAGTATCCCATGACATTCTGATTAGCAAGCCAGTTAAGCATGGATTATATAATGACAATGTAGCCAGCTTTTAAAAAATCATACTAGAAATGCTGATCAGTTGATCCTTGTCCAGTTGCAGAGAGATATCAAGTGGGACGCCACAAAGTTCAGCCCTGGACTCTCTACTTTCAATATTTTTATGGAGGGAATGCTTATCACATTTGAAGTTGACATAATATAAGATTGCATAGCCAATATCCTAGACGAATGAAATAAAATTTAGATTGATCCTGATAAGTTAGAAAAAGAAGCTGGAAATACGAACGTGAAATTCAACAGAGACAAGTGAAAACGTGATTCACATAAGAAATAAAATTCAAACATGCATGTATACGATGCTGGAGACCTGGTGTGGTCATATATTTGAGCAAAAGATCTTGGAATAGGAGCTGTTTGCAAATTGAATCTCAGAAATGTGATGTGGCTGTAAAAAGGCAAATTTTTAGGCTGCATTCAACTGAAGTACATTCTCCAAATCACAGGAGATTTTACTCTGTTCTGCTTCAGATCCTATATCTAGCTGAAGGACCTATCTTTAAGAAAGAATAAAAATAAGAGAAACACAAACAGGTTCAGAGAAGGGCAACAAGAATGCTCAAGAGGGGGGAAATCCAATTCTGTGAAGAGAGATTCAAGAAGCTGGGTATGATTAACCTTTAGAAGAGGAGATTGAGGAATGTACCATATCAATCAAATTTCTGAAAGGATGTCATATATCATTACACGTTCTGAGAATGTAGAACCTGGAACAATGGATTTAAGATACAGAAGACAGATTCTGATTTAATGTTAGAAAAATATCCTAACAGTGAAAAAAAAAAATTGATAGAGAAAGCAATTACCCAGAGTGATGGTAGTCTCACCTTCATTGGATATGTTCTAGTAGAGACTAGACACCATTTGTCAAGGATGATTTAATTTGAATTTCTGCACTAAGCAGGGACTTGAACTCTCAATTAAGATGTAAGAAAGTGTATGTTTAGAAGAGAAGACTAATATATAATAGCATCTTATTCAAATATGTCACTCAGATGAAGGTCAAGACCTATCCTCTATTGTTTCAGAGTGCAAGACAGTCTGGATTTAAGTTACAGAAAGGCAGATCTCGACTCAATGTTAGAAAAATATTTGTAATGTTAAGAGCAATTTGACAACCAAATATCCAGAAAGGTGCTGGGCCTTCTTATCATATATGTACAAGCGGAGATCAGACAATCGTTTATTGGGGATGCTTTAATTTAGATTTCTGCATTGAACCGGGTCTGGACTCCTTGGCTTAAATGATCTCTTCCAAATCCATAATTTCTAATTTGTAGTCCAATTCATATCAGAGCAGGATTCCATTTCTAGCTTCATATATAGACTGATGGTCAGTGATAGAAAGATTGTGCTTGGTCTTTGTGTAACAACTGGACTTCTTGTGCAGCAAATCCCATGTTTCTAGATGTAGCAAGGAGCAAATAGATGTAGGTCAGTGCCTAGCAATTGCATCTGAATGCAAGGGACCCCAAACTAAATCCATAGTTACATACTACAATCGCCTTTTCTCACATATTGTCAAGAGCAAGGGTCTCAAACTCATGGTTTGTGGGCGGTAGGCAATCCTTCAAGTCATGTCCTAACTCTGAATTCCATAAATGAAGTTGAACTGAAATCTTTGAAAGAGATTAAAGATAGCATTTATAAATTACAGAAACAGTTTGTTATACAAGCTACATGACTTTAAAATTCTTGAACAACAGTTTCAGCTTCTTTCTGCACCATTTGCTACAGGACCTGACAGAGTTGCAGAGGACATGCAGGTGGAGTTAGTGGAGGTTCACTGTGACGCCATTCTGAGGCAGAAAAGAAATAGTAAAAAGGTTTTTTTTTTCATTTAATAAATGTATATTAATGGCATATTCTTCATTTTCTTTATTCTTTACTTACTAGAGTCTTTTGTATTAATGGATTAAAAAGCTTCAGTTTGTGGCCCTTAGCTTAATGAACTAGTTCTCATGAAGCACTTAGAACAATTTGGGTTTGAGACCCCAGTCAACACCAAATGAAACAGAAAAACCCTTCAAAGGCCTGCCCTAAAAATAACCAGCTTGGCTTGCCCATTCATATAAATTGCTGACCCTGCTATTCAGCTGACATCACTGTCATGTTCTTGCTTTTGGTCCAGGAGGGTTTTAGACACAAGGAACAAGTTAAGGTACACTTGGTTTTCTCCACCTGGACTTAGTAAAACAAGAATCAGCATTATTAAGTTCCTCTCCTTTATGCTGCTAAAAGGAGTTGGGGTGTTAAACATAGTTGAAGGGCACAATTCATGTGCAGTTCCTTCTGGACTGGACTGTATGGGCATAATTCAACAAACCTCAAGGGTCTTCTTGTTATCCCGTCTACGCAAATTGGCTTGTAATTATCCTGAATAAATAGCACTTATTTATTCCTAGAATATGAACAGCAGCCTGGATATTGAACCGAACAAAGCACTTACATTCTGGTTGTCCCCTTTGATACTGATTGCCACATCCATGGTCACACCTTATACAGGTATGCTGCTTTCAGTTTATGCCAAGCTTTTGCATTGTTTTGTGTGCGTGTGCAGGAATAATACGTGGAAAGGATAGTTTTAGAGACAAACTCTCTTATACGGACTTACTGTGGGTAAATGAATACCAGGGAGGAGAAAGACAATCTTTCAGGGCTGGAATATTTGCTTAAACTTGCTGCCAATGCAAATCTGTTCCACACAGTTCGCTTTGTGGTTTAATTTTTTTCCCCCTCCCGTTGATTTCAAATGATGAACTTACAAATAGATTTCTGGAACGTAACTTCCTTTCTTCTAATTACTTGCATTAACTCCCTGAAATAACCTGTACCGTGGGGGTGTTGGGTGGTGGGGATAGATTGGTCTTTTAAAGAAAAGCACAGGCACACACACGCACACACACACACACTCACAGGGAAACCAATGTCTCATCCATTAAAAAGACTCTCTTTTGTTCTCAGGACACAAATGTAACCTGGTTAGACTTGTTTTGTTTGTGCGTGAAGGTGTGAGTTGGCTGGCTGTATGCAAATATTTGCAAGCCCTGTTTTTTTTAAAGTTTAATTTTAGAAGATCCAATCAGAATAACAGGAAGTGACCTAAGGGATTCCACAATTGGACAGCTAAGCATTCTAAAACATATCTTAAAATTAATATCACATCCATTTATCTTCACTGCTACGAGGTTTTGTGAAGTGATAGCCTGCCACCTATGTTTACTTAATCTCTAGCATACCCTGGCCATTCTTTTTACTGCTCTAACTAAAGGATTTCCCCAACAGAACCAGCAGCTAAATGAGGTAAGGGCTTTTTAAATTGGTTTCTCCTTAAGTTCTTTTTTTTTTTTAACCACTAGGGATGAAATAAAAAATTGCTTAAGTATATGCACAGCTTAAGCATGACGATAAACCTTCTACTTCATAAATGTAGGTAGAATCCTTTGATAAAAGCTGTTGAACTAGTTAAAGAGTTTGGCTGCTATCCTGTTCTCTGGAAGCTTGAAGTTCAGTGAAATCAGTGAATTTAAAGTATCATAACTATGTGCGAACTGCAGTGATTTGCTCAGCCAGTAGAAAAGTAGAGCACATTTTGTGTAAAAATGCCAATAATAATAATAATAATAATAATAATAATAATTATTATTATTATTATTATTATTTCATTTATTTATCCTGACTT